TCACCGCTGAAGCGAGTACAGCTTGCAGGCGGCGTCGAGTCCAGCAGCCAATTGTTCGATCTCCTGGCGCTGGGGGGCGGGAATCTTCATCCACTCGATCGCCACTCGCCCGTGCTTGTCGTAGCGCCGCACGCTGTTGAAGGCGCGCCAGTTTCCTCGTTGCTGCACCTCCATTAGCGTGCGGCTGGCCGTCAGGCGGTCGTGGCTTGCGCCGCCGTGCCTGAGGCTGTAGAGCGTGCCTGCTAAACAGCTGGCTCCCACAGCCGCGAGCGCCTGGCCAAACCGCCGCTGGAGGAGGTTGTAGTCGAAGTCCCACAGCGGGTGCCAGGAGCCCAGGCGGGAGTCGCGCAGGCGCGCCAAGGCCCAAGCCAGGGCCTGCTGGCGCGGGAGGTCGAGCACGACGGTATGGTCCATCTCGCCTGTCTTGCCCGGTTGCTGCAACTCTGCAGCATGCACCACCACCGACATGTGTGAGCCCGCGCTGGTGGCCGAGCCGAACGGGCCGGTGAGCTGGGCGGCCCGCAGCGCCAGCGCCTCCGAGGGTCTCAGGTAGCCCTCGAACATCAGCATGACGCACAAGGCGGTCGCAAACTCGCCCTGGTGCCCAAGCCAAGCTGCCGCTGCGCGAACCACAAGCTCTGGAAGAGGCGGACGAGAGCCTGGTGGATGCAGGCGCTTCCAGCCCGCCAGCGAGTGCGCGAGCTGCGGGAAGCACCTCTGCAAGGGCGCCACGTGGAGCTGCGGGAGCCCCCACAGCACCGCGGCGCCAAGCCTTGCAGCCGTCGCCCGCGCCACTCCCTGGTCGAAGGCCCACAGCAGGAAGTCGGCCAGCGCTGCGTCCCAGGCCGCCACAGGCCAGTCGGGCAGAGCGTCCACCATGAGCCAGCCTGCCAGCAGCCGCAACACCTTCAGGTAGAGCACCTGAGTGGACGGCCGCACCTGGTTGGCTGCCAGAAAGCCCTGGCGGGGCAGCAAGCGGGCCCGCTCCTGGGCGGAAGGCGGCGGCAGCTGCGCTCTGATCCTTGCGGATTCGCCACCACCAACGGCTCGCTTCCGGGTCGGCGAAGCGCCTCCCACCTCTGGCAGACTTGGCTGGCCGAACGGCGGCGCTGCCTGGAGCGTGCGGACCTCCTGCATGGCCACAGCTGCCGTGACGCCTGAACTGGTCCCTCTGCTTGGGCCAAGACGGCTCCGGACCAGACTGGAACCGTCTTGACGGGCCATCCGCAGGGTTTAGCTCTGAGGGGATCCATCTGAACGTGACCTTGAGATTGCAGGCGACCGATATGGCGCAGGAACAACGGCAGCCGGACAAGAGACCAAAGTCGGATGCACGGCCCTTTTCATGGGCGCAAATCATCGACATGTTGTCGCCCAGGCCCAGCAAGCGATGCCCGTGGCATCTCGAATTGCGAGAGGCGCGCCGCAGCCAGAGAAGCCCTGCTGAGCTCTCCAGCCTGTGGATAGTACTTCGACGCCTCCATCTGCATGCAACAGCCGTGATCCAGGTCGCCTCGCGCAGCAGCTCTGCGCTCACCTCGGCGAAACCCGCCGCGCGGCCGAGCAGGAGCGCGGCGGGGTCAGAGAGCTCGATGCTGTCAGCGGCCAGGGCAGCGCCCCGCGGAGCCACCAATGAGGCGAGGGGCCCGCGGAAACGCAGCCTCTCCGGCTGCCTGCCTGCGGCCTGCACCGCGCTCAAAGGCCAGCGCGCAGCACAGACTCCCGCGCCCCAAGGCGACGCGTCAAAGGCACCTACCTCAGCGTGCCAAGGCCTCTTCATGTCGGCGAACACCGTGGGCAACAACGCAAGCACCCACCTGAGTTCACGTCGGCAACTGGGCCACAGCGGCTGCGCCCTGTCGTAGGTCGACCGGATGAAGACGTAGACGGCGCTGAGGAGGCTGAGAGCCTCACGCCGCAGCAGCAGCAGCGCGACCACGTGGCCCACAAGCCTCTCCAACTGGCGCCCAGTGATACGCCTTCCTGGCTCCAGCAAGTGTGAGATGCAGCCATGCACCCTCCAAAACTTCTTGGGTGCGGGGCGCCACCTGGCGGCCTTGGAATCCAGCGTGAAGCCGAGGAGGACGACGTCCAAGTCAAGCGACGCCCTGACGCCCTCACTGGTGAACGAGCCCAGCATGTCATTGACAACCTGCAACGCTGTCTCGCGACTGGTGCTAATGGCCGCAAAATTGTCTATGTACAAGACCTTGGCTGCAGCAGAGCTGTCCGAGAGGCACGTCCCAGGCTGCTTGTCCACCAGCCACTGGTTGTTCGGAGAGATCGAAGCCAACACGTTCAGGTGGGCAGACTGCACAAAGTGGACGGCCCAGTTCCATCCCATGGGAACAACTCGCACACGGAAGGCTATCTTGGGTCGCGCCGCAAGCTCAGGCCCCAGAGCCTCACGCAGGCGGGCAGGCAGCATGCGAGTCGCCAAGCTCGGCAGGCAGAAGTAGTTCCTGGCCCATGTGGGCAGCACGTACTGGTAGAAGCACACCTCCACATCCCCAGCCGCCAAGTGCACCTCCTCGCCGGGCGTGCACTCCAAGCTGCTGAGGGCGTCGCCGGAGGCCAAGTGCGTGTAATCGGGCGTCCTGAAGTGACAGTTCGCCCTCCTGGTGTCAAAGATAAGCCTCAGCTTGTCATCGTTGCGAGGCACAAAAAAGACGCCAGTCTCCTCCTTCCGATCTAACTCATAGTCCAAAACTTCAACGATCCCTGCGTCGTACAGCTCGAGCAGAAACCGTCCGTAGTCAAAGCCCCGTTGGGCCAGCTTGCCGTCGACGTAACACGTGACGTCAGCCTCCTCCAGAGCAGCAGAAGCCTCCTGCTCCGAGCGCAATAACCCGTGCCCGGACTCCAGCGCTGACTGCAGGTGCGGCGGAAGTAGTCGAACAAGATCGACACGCCCAGCACCGCCAGAAAGAAGGGAGACCCTCCCGCGCTGGTAGCCGGCTCTCGCCCCGATGGCTGGCTCATCAGCATAGCCAGGTCGAAGCCCCAGAAGCGCCTGAAACGCCTCCTGGCTGGCGCAATCCTCAACCGACCACCCCCGCCCAGCTCGTTGAGCGCCGAGACGCCTTCCAGCACCCAGCGCTCCTGGCGCCTGCAGCGCGCGGCCTTGCGCCGCTGCCCCAGCGAAAGCTCGCCGTCGAGGGCCGAGAACCCCTTCAAGCACTGGAGCGCCTCGAAGCTGAGCGGGATGGGCAGCACGCCCCTTTGCGCGAGACTGTCATCGCCAAAACCCAGCGAGGTGGCATCGTTCAGCACGCCTCGCCTCCCCTGCAAACTCGCGCCGAGGCCGGGGGCATCCCCGGCGCGAGGGGGCGCCTCAGGCGCCACGGCCGCGCCCGCGGCCGCGTGCCTTAGCCTTGGCACCCGCCGATGGTTCGCCAGAGGCCGCGCCGCCGTCGACGCCGCGCTCCAGCAGCCTTTCCTCTCGCCCCTTCCTGCGCTCCTTGAGGATGGCACTTTCCTCTCGGAGCTTCTCCGCCACCCAGCTCTCCAAGGCGGGGCAGACAAGCGCTGAGCCACGGCTCCTGTCCTGCCCGAGGAAGATGGATCGCTCATCGAGCCAGGGTGCAGCGTCCTGGCCAGCCTCGGCTTCGCGCAGACTCGAGGCGTAAAGCTCCTCCCAGAGCTGGTAGCGGCGGCAGAGGATCTCCACCACCACCAGCTCGCCAGCGTTGAGCTGGTCGTAGGTGGTGAGCTCCTGCAGCACCTCGGAGATGAAGTGGTGGTCGTCCACGCCCGAGTCGGAAGCTGTGAGCCCCTGGATCGACCGCCACCAGACATGCCTCTGCAGCGGCGTGTAGCCCGCCTCCGAGATCTTCTCAAGCAGCCAGGCAGCGGTCCTCGGCCCCCTGATGCGCCAGTCTGGGAAGGGCGTGGTGGACATCTTGGCCACGGCGTCGTGGAAGGACCTGGAGCGGCCACCAGCTGGTGAGTAGAGCACCGGCAGCGTGCGAAGGTCTCCCCCACTGCTGGAGAGAGCTGCCGTCCCTGCCTCCAGGGTGTCCGCCACTGCGACCGCCAGTGAGACGCCTGACGCCAGCACCACGACCCCGCGGTCGCCCAGAACGACCTGCGGCTGGCCATCCGCGCCGAGGAGCTCCGGCGGGATAGGGGCCCCGGCCGTGAAGCCCCCACGCGTCTCCGCCGCGAGCCAGACCGCGTCTGCTGGCGGCGCTGCGGGCCGCGGCGGGGCTGGGGCGAGGAGAGCCCCGGCCGCGGGTGCCCTGTGCGGCGCGGCCGGCGCCGCCGCCAGGGCGCCGGCAGCGGCCGCGCCACCCACCGCTGGCCCAGCGGGCCTCGCGGCAGCCGCCAGCGCCGCAGGAGCCGGCGCCTCGGCAAGCGCCCCCGCCTCGCCGTCGGCAAGCACCCCATGGGGCGCCGCTGGGGCCGGCAAGCCCTCCTCCTCGCGGATGTCCAAGGCCAGCTGCGCCGCCTCGTCGCACAGCTGCTGCAGCTCAATGCTGAGGCGGGCGTTGTCCACCCGCAGGATGTGCCCCTGTGGCCTCGGCACGGGAAGGCCGCCCCGTGGACCCAGAGGCAGCAGGCGAAGCGCCTGGGACATGTCTTCATCATAGATGTCCCAGTCCGCGGTGAGCACCACGAAGCGGAAGTCCTGAATGTGCGCCAGCATGATCCTCTCGTGCCAGTAGTCATCGCGCGGGTCGTAGTAGGCGAGGGCCCTCGACCCCACCTGCAGACTCTGCAGGCAGCGCAGCGTGCGTTCTGCTGGGGTGCGTGCGGGCCGCCATCCAATCCTAGCCTCGGCGCGCGTGCGGCCCTCTTCCACAAGAATCCAGCGGTCGCTGCCGACAGCACACCAACGAGCAGCCCCACAATGAAGGTGCCCAGCGAGAGCGACGGCTCGGGGCACTGCAGCAGCGGACAGCTCGGGCACGCAGGGCAATTGAGCTGCTCTGGCCCGCAGCGCTCCAGCTGGCGTCCCAGCAAGTGCACGATATCGCTGCTGACCTGGCAATCCGCGA